CCACCGAAGGAGAATTAAAAAAATATGCCTTTCTTAACTCTTTACTAAACTTAAAACCAGAAAGAACAAAACCACCAGTGAATGTTGAATTATGGATACAATATAAAGTCGTTAAGAGTGATAATGCAACCTATACTTATACGATCACTAATTGAGTTACCCCAGATGGGAAGAGTGAAAATCAAAAATATGTAATCTCTGGTATTGTTAAGGATCTTACTAATCGACCAGAAACTGACCACGAATTGCGAATGATGGGTTATCTACGTGAAGTTGGTTATTTCCACGATTCACGAAGACCAGCTAATGATGAAATGTATATAGTAAAATATAACAATACCCTTTATATTGGCCCTAGTAAAAGTGGTATCAATTCACTTTTTAAAAATACTATCCAATATCTTTTTTTAAATAACATGGAAACGACTAAAGAACGAGTCAGAAAATTATTTCAATATGCAGAAACAGTGGTTACTATCATTGATGAGAACCCAAAGGCAACTATTCAAAAACTTGTTAAGAGTTTAAGATCAATGATTATATTTCCAGAAGGAAATAATGCTACTGATATTCAGGAAAAGTATCAGCAAAAAAATAACACATGTTTTGTTAAAAGATCTGAAACTACCAGGGCATTGGGTACAATCGTACAAAGTATTGAAAATTTTCTACAAATGGCAAACATAGTTAATAAATTACCAGATGAATTGAATACTATATTATCATTATCTACCTTATCTGATCAAGTTAGAATGGTAAATCAGAACTTAACAAAGGATTTTGGTGATAGCATGGTTAAGGGTAGCATCGTTGAGCAACTTGAACTCAAACTTAATGAAATTACCAAGCTTCTAGGAAATTTAGATATAGGTGTTCAAAATGAAAAATTAGTTTATGATAATAGTAATAATGATAGTTCAACTAGTAAAAGAATTAAAGTAGAAGATAAATACTAGTTTATTTGTATTTATTTATTAAATAAAATTTATTTTATAATGATTTTATTAATTCTAATATATCAAAATTTTCTTCTGAAATTTTATCTATAGTCTCTTTTAACTCATTCATATTAAACACATCGCTATTTTGATCATTTTTAATTCTACGTTTTTCTTTATACTTACACTCATTATCATTGAAGTAATACAGATGTTTGCATTTATACAATTCACTTTCATATCTTGATCCTTTCCTATTCAACTCTGTGATCGCTGTGCATATTCTTGTCTCTCCGATGATATCTAGCACTATCTTAGTTAATCTTTCCTTTTCATTCACCCAGATTTCGTTACTTAAATTTTTAAAAATAGTTTCAACGTTATCTGTATGTGCTGCTATCATTGTTCTGTCAGTCTTGTTGAGTATGGTTTCTCCACTACCATAGAATTAGGTTTGTTTACCCTGGGAAATATTATGATTACGTGTTCTGATTTGGTTAAAAAAATCTTTTATATTATCATTAGTAATCTCTGATTCATTGATTACTATAACAATATTCATGGTACTAGGATACCGTTTAGGGATATGAACTTTGTCATTGACAATGAAAATTCTATAACTTATCCTAAAAAAATTCTCATTTTCATCAAGGATCATATGCGATAATAACTCATCAAAATCACGTAAATAATGATTTAATGTCTTGGAACCAGCCTCATGATTCATTTTGGGATCATATAATTGTAGATTTTCTGTTGATCAGTATTTAATCTGAATAGGAACTAGAAACCCTCCCTCTTTTTTGTTAAAAGAAAGAAACACGAACATGTCAAACCCTCCGTCACCTGTTAGATTCCATTTTCCAATACGTGCAACCTGGAATGGTCTTTTGGTATCTGGTTCGGATTGTATATATTCATAATTTTCTTCCATCATAGTTTCAATTTTTATACCCTCTCCAAGCTTC